TGAAATTAAAAATGTCAAGTTTTGATCACTGAACTTTGAAAAATATTGTATATTACTCACTATTCAACAGTTATGATAGTGACTAATGTACTGCATTTTTCAAAATTTAGTAGTCAAAACTTAATATATTAAATTTCGATGAGCAATTGTAAACATAGACTTAAGTTCAATGACCAAAACTCGACATTTTAAATTTTAGTGATCAATCAAGGATATGAGTCTAAATTCAGTGACTATTGAAACAATTAATTCTCTATCTTAAGGCTTATATCTTCATAATCTCATCCACATTTTATCTTCTGAAAACTCAATAATATGAAACATAACTTACCTTTGTAACTTTAACGAATAAAGATGTTCAACACCACCGTGGTCTACAACAGACAACTTAATAGGGCTTTTTTTTTATTTTTTTATTTTTTTTATTTTTTATAATATATATACTTGTAGACATTGTCTTTTGACTATGTATTACATTCACTCTCATTCTAATTCTATGATTATACTGACTAGTCCTATCTCACATCAATAAAGCTATCTGTGCATTCGGGGTTGACATCCCGGATTACACTCCCCTCACAAGAGAGGGGGTCCACACATAATAAAATAATTGTAAGCCTCCTCTTGTGAGGGGAGTGTCATCCGGGGTGTTAACCCCAGATGTACAAATAACAAAGTCCATCTCACATATACATCACCACCAATTCAACTTCCATTGTCCTAGCCTATGTTGCCCAAAAAACTTAGCACATTTGAAGCAGAAATGTTAGAAACGATTCATATCTCCATTTCTTTAAACCCAAATAATAATAATAATGATTAGTCATATATAATTTCTATAGCATCATTACAACAAAAATGAAAATGGCAAATACTGCAGGTACTAAACAATCGAAATCATCAATTTGCAAAATTGCAGAAAAACATTCCTAGCATGAATTATCTTTACGCTTGTTTTCATATTGGGTTGAGACCAATTGAATGCCATCGAACCCAAAATTCCACTTGCCCAATTTCCCACAAAATCAATACTAAAAATTCAAGGCCACAAAAGAAAAAGAAAAAAAGTTGTATGCCTTCGAACCCATAATTCCAGTTGCCTAGAGATTTCCCCCAAAAATTCAAGACCATATAATTGCAAAAATGGGATTTTGATATAATTACCAACAGTTCGAAGCTTGTGCTCCACGATGCATTCCCTGATGATTTCAAACTTCCCCTTCCCTTCCCCCATTTTTCTTTGATTTCCTCTTTTCGTCTTTTCGGAATTTATATGTGTATTATTTTAAAGGAAATTGTAACACGTCATTTGAACAAGCCGTCACTTTTATGGCCTTAAAAATGGCATGTGGCCCAATTCTTGGACAAACTGCCCAACAGATATTTTTCTCCTTTTAAATATTTGATAGTCTTTTTCATATCCGAATTTGGGCAGATTTCAATATCATGGTTGAGGCATTCATAGTAAAACAACCATTTTTTTATTTTTTTATTTTATTTTATTTTTTTTTTATTTTTAATTTGCTCCCAATGACTTACCCAGAATCTGTGATCACTTTTAAACTCCTGAACTGGATGTTTTGAATGGCTCAGGAAGGGCAAAATCCCAAATGATGCTGAGAGGTTTGTCCCCAATGAAATTATCAATCCTTGCAGAGATACCCAATATCCAATCTGGATGCAGTGAAGCGTTCTATATCTTTTCTGACAGGTTAACATCCTTTTCCAAGTAGGTGAATCATTGGATTTAGGTTGCACAACAGTAGCATGAGTATCATGAGTAACAGTTCGTGGGCGGCAAAAGTGAGTTCCTAGCTTAATCCCCCCCAAGTTCTCTTAACTCGAAATAAATAAAGCAGTTTGAGAGTTTGAATTCATTTACATATTCTTGTGGAAGAAAAAATGACTGATCTTGTATAATATACTTGCATTATACTGAGGTATACAATCAATTTACAGGGCCATCAAATTATGCAGGGAAGTACGGAATAAACGTCTGGCAATTCTCTTTTATCATAGAATCACTCTTTCCATATGCTTTATACACAAAAATATACTAAGTTCAAAAATTACTGGTATGAGCTTGAATTGAAGACTTGTGCGATCTTCTGCTAGAGGGGAATCCAACCCTGTTATTTTTTTTAGATTGATAAATAATTCGAGGGGCTATAGAAAAGTCGATAAGAAAATTGAAGCTATGATTGTTAACGAACCTTGATCAATCCTGTCTCTGCACCGCATAGAATCGTGTTGTTGGCTGAAAGTAGGCTTCTTATCTTGCTACCAGCTGATAGTCTGCCAACTCTGTATTGTGTCCCTCTCAACCATATCTGCTTCATAGAAATAACTCAGTTGATGACACCAGATTGTTAGAAAAGACTCAACAGCCAAATGATTATTACATTTAATATATTGTAAATCTTGACTGCGTGGTAGCAACTATATTACTATTATTATTATTATTTTTGTTATATAGCGTGTCCTTATACTTTGTATTAGGTTGCCCTAGTTACTATGTTAATGAAGGATCTGAGGGGAAGCCCTCTTCAGCCTGCAATAAAAGACAGAGAAGTGTGAGATCTCCTGTCGTTAAACTTGATTATAATGGAAACTTAGCAGTCGCAAAGTAGATATAGCTTTCACATTGAGGGTGAACCATTATGAAACATTTCTCATTTCTTTTCTGTTTTATTATTGTTCTTGGGATTAGGGATTGAGGTTTAATCTATCACAGTAAATGTAGTGCATTGGTTACGTTAAGGCTGCTCATTGATGTGCTGCAGTTTAGGTATATAAAATCCTCCACTACTTCCATCGCAAGAATGCTTGCTCCCTTCTCTGGCAACACAGATAATTGGGGACTGTTGTTTTTTCTCCAGTCCTGGATTGGTTGCCCAATCAATAAGAAAGTGTTTACATTAACTCAAATTAGCTATTTATTTCTGTTACCTTGATTTTTGAACCCTGGAGGACTAAACTTGCGCTATATAGACGGTCCTTGTATATAGCAACTGAATTTATGGGCTTGTTCTGCATCCAACTCTTCGAGGGTGCTTTGATCTCTAGCTGCATGCCGGCTGTTTGTTATAACTAACTCCTGAATGAAGTAGCGTAAGACTCCCCATTCAATCTTTGAATATATGTTCAGATGGAAAAGAGAATCGAACTAACCTGTATGCTTTAATCCATGCAGCCTATATACAACTTCCCCTGGGCTACCCTCATGCACTTCACGCGTGCATCTCGTAATTCACATGCTCTATTGTTAATGTCTCTATTGTTATAGTTGTACCTTCATTTTATGGCTTTGGGTAGTTGCGAAAATCAGTTCACCCCAAGAATCTATACTTCTGATTGATTCTTTTGTTGGTATTACATCGATGCGTTCAAGTTTCCTCTGGACCATTTGCCAAATCTGTAGAACAGAAAGATGTCCATTCAGATAAATAGTTCGCCTATTTCTATCTCTCTGATTACTATGAGAGTTTGACTAGGATTCACGAATTTTATTACCTTAATCGTTTTGTCAACAGATCCACTCAAAAGACAGTTCCCTGGTTCATAAAGTGAAAAGCATGTAATGGCTTTTTTGTGCTCCTTGATGTCCTCTACAAGAGTGGCCTTCTGTCCTTTGATGCTCCAAACCATATTAACACCAATTTTAACATTGTTTCCATTAAATATAGTTACTCTTCCATCTGTTTCTAATGCAATGTTAGTCAAGAACCATTTAATTATTACATAAACCCAATTAAACGTTGACCTGGTTCTCTTCCTCATTCTCCGCCTCCCCAACAAAAGTAGTCTTTCTTGTATTCTCTAGTGTAATCATGATGTTTCCATGCGTTCAAAAGCAGGAAAACCATAGAAATATCACAAACCTTGATTGAACCATCTGCATATCCACTATAAAGCTGTCCTGTGTAATAGATGAGGGCAGTTACAGCTCCACTACATATATGTCCTGCCTCCAGAAATTTAATATATGCTGTGCGATTTTGCTGCACCAGGCATCTATCCCAGAGTCCTGTAAGTTCATGCAGCTACTTTAACTTCTTTTTAAAAATCTAAAACTATTGAAGCATCTTATCTAAATGCTTAAGCTATTAGAGATGGACAGATTAATTTACTTTAATTTAATCTTCAATGCCCCCTTATGTGCAGGTTTGATTCGTTTTTTATCAAAGGCTTGAATGTGCGAAATTTTTATAGATGGATAGCAGCTAGAGTTAAAACACATGGCCTTGCCTGTTTCATATACCATATTGAACCACCTCTACTAAAAGCTTAAGTTATAAAAGAGTGGAGCCATATATTTGTTTTACCCCCCCCCCCC